TTTTCTTTAAGAAATCTACATGCTCTGACCACCTCATTCGGTAGTCAAAATGAACACCTAAATATTTGTAATAATCTACTTTTTCAATGTATTCACAATTACAAGATATACTGTTATGGTCGCCGCAACAATGAATCTTCAAATTGTCTAGACTATAATCAGTGCTTGTACTGAGTGATATCGGAAGAAATTTAGTCTTGTTCACATTAAGTGAGAGCACATTTTGATCTAGCCATTTTTTTAGAAGTGAGAGGTCACGGAGAGCTTTAGACCTGACATCCTCCCAAGAACGACCCTTTAACAAAACTAATGTGTCGTCAGCAAATAAAAATAGTTCACCATCCAGGTTCAGTTTTGAAATGTTATTTATATAGATTAGGAAAAGTATAGGCCCCAGAGTACTTCCCTGAATAACCCCATACTCAATTGAATTTGCATCACTATTCACACCACAAATGGAAACTACTTGATGTCTGTCAGATAAATAGTTTTTGAACCAGGCGAGAGCAGTGCCTCTGACACCGATCTGTTCCAATTTTGCTATCAACAAGTTTCTGTTAATTGAGTCGAATGTTTTTTTAAATCTAAGAAAATTAACATAGAACGATTGTTATTTGCCATTGAGTTATTTATAGATTTACATACTTCAAAAAGTGCATCAGAGATGTTTTTATCTTTTCTAAACCCAAATTGTGAATTAGATAATATATTGTTATTATGAAGGTACTCCACCAACTGCTCCTTGACAATACGCTCTAAAACCTTGGAAAACACGCTTAACAATGAGATTGGTCTAAAGTTGTTACAGTCTTTTGGATCACCTGTTTTAAATAAAGGAATTACTTTTGCAGTTTTGAATTGAGCCGGGAATATAACAGTCAGTAGAGATAGATTAATTATGTGTAGCAGCGGAATGTAAATTATGAGTGCGTTTTGTTTAAGCAAATCAGCCGAAACTTCGTCCAGACCCGGAGCTGAGCCACCGCGCAGCTCGGAGATGTGTCGTAGTACGTCTTGTGCAGAAACAGTTTGCAATGTGAAAGTAGAGTCCAGTCTGTAGTCAGAGTCAACAACCACTGGGGTCCCACCCGCATCTATCTGCTTCGATAGATTTACTCCAACAGAAGCAAAGAAGTTATTAAAATCATCTGCTATCTCGTGTTTTGCGGCTTGAGTATCATGAGACGTGCTGGGAATAAATTTATCAATTGGAAATGAATTTTTATTACGTGGTCTGCCAGCAAGCTCATTGATCAGTCCCCAAAACAGTTTTGGATTCCTATTGTTCTGGTACAATCTTTCCCTGTAAAAATCTCGTTTGGCTCTTTTTAATAGATTGCATAGGCTTTGTCTATAATTCCTATAATAAGTTTGTAGATAATCATTAAATGGTTCACGACGAGCGGCTTTACTTAATTTGTCTCTAGTACGTATTGATTTGACCAAACTGTCAGTAATCCATGGTTTAATTCTTTTACGTCTAGATGATCTTGAAGTTATAGGTTTTTTTTGCATTTTGTAAAGCAAAATCTAGATTTTTGTAAAACATTTCACAGCACATATTGATATCTATACAGTTTAGGACAGGTCCCCAGTCGGTCTGAGAGAGATTTTGAGTGAGAAGGGTGTGATCAAGGTAAGTTTGAGAAGGTCCGGTTGCAGTGTGAATGTTAAGTGTGTGTGCGTAAGTGTATGCAGTGTCATGTATAGTGAGGGCGGTGGCATAGTGGTCGGTGAGGCTAGTGTGCAGTACAGCAGCGCGCACAGCAGCCATGTCACAGTAACGCACAAATATGTGATCAATGCAGGAGGCAGTGTCCTGTGTAACTCTAGTCGGTCTGTCCACACACTGTACAAGTCCAGAACCAAGTAAACTGTTTAAGTAGAGATCAATTAGTATATCCTTGTTCAAAAGGTTTAAATTCATGTCACCCATAAAAATGCACATTTTGTTTCTATCTATGTTCTGATAGTAAGTCTCAAGTTCACTAGTGAATTGTACTGGATTGCTGTCGAATGTTCTGTAGAGTGCAAGTAAATTGAAGTTCTTGTTGCAGTACACAAAGTCCAGTGATAACCCATGAACGTCCCCCAGAGTGATTTGTTGTGCAGTCGCTGATAGTGATTTGTTAGTAAACACAATGATACCATCATTGCGGTTACGTTGAGTTGGTAGTCATGTGTTAGTCATGGTAGTCACTTAATTTGCCTTCCAAGGAAATCACAACTATATGTGAACCATATGCCTACCACACCTTTGGCCATGTGGCGTATGGGGAAGTGCTCTGGAAGCTCGGAATCACGAGACATAAGACCTAAATGTTGTTTCAGAAAAATCTGTGTGTGTGTCTGTGTGCAAGTTAATAACTTAGATCTTGTATCCTAAATGGCCCAAGAGAGCATCTTATTAACTTAACCCTAATTTAAGGAATTTGGGAACTCGCACATATAAGTTAGCCCACTAACCACTGACTTAAGAATATGCCTGGAGCCGTTTAAGCCAACCAGATAGTTAAGTTATCCACCCCAAGGAAAATAATATGTTATTTCAACTCTCTACCCCAACAATATTGAGCCTCAATTGCAACTTAACTTACAGCTCTCATGACTGTGGAACTAAGTATAGAAGACACAAAATTGAAGTCCCATGTCAGCAGGTAGAGTGGACCCGTCCTAATCCTACTTGTCAAAACAACACTATTCTTGGAAGCTCGGCGATTACGGCGCGCCGGGAATACCGCCCTGCCCTCGCTGTTCCTAGAAATTCCGCTTCCTACTACAATTTGCATAAATTTAACCATAAGACTTGGAGCATCATGTGAAGGCTCATTTTGTTCGTCAGAGAAAGAGGAATAAAAACAATGCTGAGTGAACGCTCTACGATTTCCCGTTACCGAGTTATCAGGTCGAGGAGTTTGTCTCCTTGTATGAACCTGTTCTGGCCGGGCGCATTGGGAAAATCCGTTCCTTTTTTGTTGTTTTCTTTGTTTTCTCTTTTGACCTGATAACTCAGTAATGGGAGATTATAGAGCGTTCACTAAAAATTGTTTTTATTCCTCTTTCTCAGACGAACAAAATGAGCCTTCGCATGATCCTCCAAGTCTTATGGTTCAATTGATGCAAATAAATTGTATTAGGACACAGAATTTCTCAGAGGAACAGGGAGAGGAGGGCGGTATTCCCGGCCCGCCTGAATCACCGAGCTCCCAACAATAGCGTTGTTTTGACAAGCAGGATTAGGACGGGTTCAGTCTACCTGCAGACATGGGACTTTAATTTTGTGTCCTACTATAAATTAAGTTAGCTCTAACTTAAAAGTCCCTGTACAACCTGGGCGGGTTATCCTCCAAACCATTAATATCAGGCTGAGAAATATAGGTTAGCCTACAGTCTTTCGGTTGTTTGTGCCAACAGATACCGGTATAGAAGTATAGGCCTAGTAGAGTTTGACTAAGTGAGGCTCTCTGGTAACTTCGAGAGCAGCAGTTTCTTTAACCCTTGTGCCACCACAGTCCGATATATCAGACAGCGGGACTATTGCGAAAACCGCCACGATACAATATATCGGACATCTGCTAAATGTTTGTTTACTGCCAGCTGATCATCCAAATGGGACATATAACCTATTAGACGATTTGTCATGAATTAGAATAGCCTACATGTAGAAACCCGTTTTTGTTTTATTTCGAGTTTCGTGTTTGGTACGACTTTGTTGGAAAAAGTAACTTAGCATTGCATAATCTGTGTTTGTATCCATAAGAGTGTTATTGGAAGTTAACTGTCGTGTGTTTCTATAATTTTTATTGTGTTTATTGAGTGATTTTGTTTCTGAAAATGAGTTAAGTTACTGTATGATAATTATTTCTGATTTGTTTGGTAATTAACTTATGGATTATAAAGTAAATATATTTAGTTATTTGAAAGTCAATAATTAGGACTAAGTGATAAGAGTAGGCCTATGTGCTTAGGCCTATAAAGCCTTTTTCAAAAAAGCACCACTGCGAGCTGATTTTTTAAGGTATCTTAAGACGTTCAAATTTTTGCCAGTTTGGGCCTACTAACTTAACAAATATATGTAGAACTAATAAACTTATCTATCACTTAACTTACCGTTACTTATAAGAAATATTTTTTTCTGGTGTTGTTGCTGGCTAATGTAATGAATTTAATTTGATGTATTTTTTTTATTGCAAAACATGTTTTTAAGTTATCGTACTAGAAATAAAAAAACAAATCCAACCCAATAAATTGTAAGTTACCTATATTAATTTAAAGACAAATTTATATTAATCTAACAAAAAAATAATTATTGTTCTAGACTATGCCAACAACAAAGAAACAAGAGATAAGTTAGGGTTTGTTAATCAAAACCTTGGGCTTGACCAAAACAATTGCCTTGACGATTTTGGCATGCAACCACTTAAAAATTGTGGCAGAGAAAGGGTTATGAAATGGCAATTAATAAATCCTACTAGGCCTGACTACTTTTTTAAGAAAGAACCAGGGCTGCACTTTACTTTACGTCCTACACTCATTCGAATGAAAATATCGATCGATATTTCGATTATTCAATAAGTTAAATCGTTTGGTTAGTTAAGTAAGGTTAACCTAACCTAACGATAGGCCTATATCGAATGAAACATCAAATAACCGATATTTTCATTAGAATGAGTGTAGGACTAAAGTAAAGTGCAGCCAGAACCAGGCCTATGCCTAGGCCCTAGCCTGCGTCCTACTTTCATAACCGGCCTAGCAGGCAAGATCTTGACATCAGTAGGTAATAAGTTATGCGAGTATTGTTCAGCTAAACTTAACATATCAAACTAAGCCCACCGTTCAAATTTCCAGGCTAAAGGTTTGGGCTGCAAATTCACTTAATGTTCGTTTGATTTCGTATCCATTCCTGAATTCATATCTTGGCACCCTCATAGGTTAGTTAACTAAGTGAATTCGTGGTAAATATTTATGAAACCCCTGGGGATTAAATGAGGGTAACTTACCAACCAGATAGTTACTAAGTTAACTTCTATTGCCAAAACAACGCTGTCTTATTCTTGTTGTTACACCATCACCTAACCATTCATTCGAGAGATGGAAAGGAAAGACTCGATTCAATTCAAACTTAAAGAGAAAGAAAAGAACAGAGGCAGAGGCGACTGAGGCGAGTCCAGCCAGAGAGAACGGAGGGAACAGAGAACAGAGAAGTGAAGTGAAGTGAAGTTGAAGTGAAATGAGCATTCTTCTTCTTTTTCCTTCCCATCCACTTCCAACGTGCGGCGACTTGATTTCTTGACTACAAATAATTGCGAGTACTGTATTCATTGGATTCATTGTGAGTACCCGGGGACCAAGCTTTGCTCAGGGAAATTCTTAGTTTACTCTGAAAGCAGTCTTAGTATTGCAGATACATTAATCCGTTCTCAAACTCCACACTGCTCGCATTTACTACTTCCTTCACCATTCCCGACGTCATGGACATGTTTCCTTTCCTTCTCTTAGCATTTAAGTATTACAGATGTATTAATCTAACTGCCACAAACGGATCCCCCACTCTGCAATGCCAGGCTTTACAACTTCCTTCATTACTTCCTACGTCGTGGGCTGTTTCCTTCCCTTCTCATTGCATTTTTAGGATTGAAGTTACAATCTAACTGCCACAGACGGTTCCCACACTCTGCAATGTTAAACAGAACTACTTCCTACGTCGTTGACCTATTTTTGTCTCTTTTCATAGCATTTCAGTATTGCAGATACATTAATCTCACTACTACAAACGGTTTATAGTTCCAAAACACTCCACACTACTCTCGTCTTTACTACTTCCTTCAACTCTTCCTACGTCGCGGACCTGTTTCCCTCCCTTCCCATAGCATTTAAAGATTGAAGATACCTTATAACCTAATCGTCATTAACAGTTCCCACACTCCAGACAGCTCGCCTTGACTATTTTCTTCACCACCTCCTACGTCGGGGACCTGTTTTCCTCCCTTTCCATAGCAATTTAGGATTGCAGATACCTTAATCTAATCGTCATAAACAGTTCTTACCCTCCAGACTACGTGCCTTTACTACTTCCTTCACCACTTCCTATATCACAGGTCTGTTTCCCTCCCTTCCCATAGCAATTTACGATTGCAGATACACTTATTCTAATCGTCATCAACAGTTCACATACACCGATTGCTCGCCTTCACTACTTCTTTCACCACTTCCTCAGTCGCAGACCTGTTTTCCTCCCTTCCCATACCATTTTAGGATTGCAGACACCTTAATCTAATCGTAATAAACATATCCCACACTCCGGACAGCTCGCCTTTACTACTTCCTTTACCACTTCCTACGTCACGGACCTGTTTCCCTCCCTTCCCATATCATTTTAGGATTGCAAATATCTTAATCTAATGGTCATGAAAAAATCCCATTCACACTCCGGACAGCTCGCCTTTTCTACTTCCTTCGCCACTTCCTACGTCACGGACCTGATTTCCTCCCATCCCTTAGCATTTTAGGATTGCAGATACCTTAATCTAATCATCATAAACAGTTCCCACACTCCGGACAGCTCACCTTAACTACTACCTCCACCACTTCCTAGGTCACGGACCTGTTTCCTTCCCTTCCCATATCATTTTAGGATTGCAAATACCTTAAACTAATGGTCATAAACAAATCCCACACTCCGGACAGCTCGCCTTTACTACTAACTTCACCATTTCCTCCGTCGTGGATCTGTTTCCTTACCTTCCCATAGCATTTTAGGATTACAGATACCTTAATCTAATCTTCATAGATCCCACACCCCGCACTAGTAGCCTTTACTACAATAATCTTCAGTATAATCTTTGCTCAATATAGTAACAAGTGATGTTTTTCCTTTTGTACTGTATTTTGAACTTTGCTAGTATACTGTGGGTAGATACCTTTCTGAATACAAGCACAGAAAACATACTACTCTCTATATTTATACTGCCGCATGTCATACTACTATAACCTACTTGACCTACTACAAGTATCCTTAGTATCCTTTTTTTTTAGATTTTATTAACCGATCAGCATTTCATTGCTATACAGGTTGGGTATAATATAAGAAAGACAAAAATAACATTATTAATTACATCAACATGGATAGACTATCCGCAGTACTATCCTGATAATTAGACCAATTCGTAAATTACAAGGAAAAATGTGGTTCGGATACCACTATAAACTGTAGGTCCCTTAGTTGCCATTAGCTGTATGGGCTATTAATTAACAGCTGTGTCTAAGGAACATGTCGGCCTTAGTCACTAACAAGACTACAAGATCGCGCCACTCATCCTACACTCATCCTTCACTCATATTTGGGTTAAAATACGCACAAAGTGGCGTCCCCATCTTAGCTAATTGATAATAATAATAATAATAATAATAATAATAGAGGTCAGCTTAGCCCCTCAGGCACTTATTGCCACTGTTTTAGCGGGTCGGACTGTAAGGGCACTGTCCACCAATGAAACACAAATCAATGAAAAAAAAATGGTTACAATAAAACATCTTGAGGCAATCTGGGTTTTAGTCGGAGTCTCTGGATTTCAGAAGGTTGGCCTGTGTTATAAAATCCAATGCTGCTGGTTAATGGAAGTTTTGTAAACAATTTTGAAGTCGCTTTCTTGATAAAATCTTCTATAGGTTTTATTCCCAGTTCATCTAAATGTATTTGACGGGTTCGAAAATACCAGGGACATTTTAGAATTATCCTTAAAACTTTATTTTGAAATGTTTGCAGTTTGCGAATTGAGCTTGATCCTGTGTATCCTGTGATACAAAAACAGGCCATGCGGCAGGATTCATGACGTCACACTAGTGGATAGATTTCATTGATAAATATTTTATCATATGCTTATTTTTCTATTTTTGTTGAACAGATTGTAAATTAAATGAATAATTTTTGATATTTTGCGATTTTTTATGATCAATTTTTTCTCTATTGTTTATGTGGTTTAGGTGAAGTGGTAGAACATTATGGCTATGGTAGATTTGTAATACTATGTATACCGTTAATTTTTAAGAAGCAAATTTTATCAAACTGTGTCCTTCCCCATTGAAAACGCATAGCTTGAGTATATCTGCAATAAGCATTTATTCCTATATGCCAACCCCGTACGAAGGACGGGTACTCTGCTAGTTAATACTAAAGGTATTTTCTTTCTCTACTTGAAGTAAAAGGGATGATACTAAGCATAACACATAACTAGCATTTAGACAACTGTAGATGTACGGCCCGGATTTTGTACCGGGTACCCTTTTCTCTGGCCAGATAGAGAAATTACAGTAGTTAGATTAACCTCTGGCCTCTGGCCAGATAGAGAAATTATTGAGATTGATTCATTTTCTTCTTTCAGTTTTAATTGAATAGTAAACATTTTATTGTTAAGTAGTCTATTATAATATATTTTGTAATCTCAACTAAGTAAACAGGTTTCGCCGTTTTATTTCTATATTCGGGATTTGGGTTTGGGGCCAACTGTTGATAATAAGTAATTATATATAATAAACTGAGTAACTTATCTAATTTAAATGATAATATGATGAACATTTATTTAACAAATTATTATACCGCAGTGGAAAAAAGTGTATTTTGTTTCTGTTGTTTTTACACTAACACGCATTTTTGTTTCTTCAGGCACAAACCATGAGCTATTTATGGTTTGAACTGAGAAAGGCAGAAAGTTAATCGAAATTCCTGCTGTAAAATGTAGTTGTAGGCATCCGGTAAAAAGTATTAGACCAATTGTTGTGTTTGACTACTACAAGGAAACCCAAATGTTTGTAATACATATTATCCAACAGTTGGCCCCAAAAATCGAATCCCAAAACTCGAATATTACAAATAAAATTCAAAACCTGTTTGATTAGTTAAGGTTAGAAATAAATTAAGATACGCTACTTAATAGTAAATGTTTACTATAAAATTCAAAACTGAAGAATAAAATTAATCATTCTCACTTACTTCTATAACTAGCCAGGGGGTATAATTCCAAGGGTAAAAATCCGGACTATACATTTTGAGCTGACCTCATGAAGGGGGTAAAAGTCCGGGGGTAAAATTGCACTCCGTACACTCTAGGTTTTTAAAATTAGATGTGTTCTGATTAAATTTACAACCGTGAAAATATACATTTAATTTTACCTTTAATCTATCGAACTGACGTTGTGCAACTCAAAAAGTTCACGGCCGGAATTTTAGCCCCTGGTTTGTGGTGTCAGTTTTGCCCAGGGGAAAAAATACAGTGGGATAAAAATCCACTACCCCGATAAAATAATTATTGTGATATATTTTGCTCTGGCCTATGTTCAAATGTAAATAAATCTAACTCTTTCATAACATAACATAAATTTCTTATGATATTGACTTTTGACAGATGGTATGTTAAGTGCGAGGAAGTACGTAGATTATTAATTATAAAGTTCATTACAATCAATTAATTATCCTCGGATTATTTCCACAAAACTAACATAGCAATACACGGCGAGAGCGGGCACGAGACGCTAGTAGCGCCAGAGCCTCCGCCTGCCTACACTACGGTACGACCATCGATGTATAATAACTCATAATAGATTGCGCGCTCAGGTTGAAGTAGGGCTCGAAAAACGGGCCGTCGCTACCTCGCTCTGTCTGCCAGGACAGAGAAAACACACTAAGGAGTAGGGATAAAAGCATGAATCGACCTAGTGCCAAGTGTCGCGCCCGCTCTCGCCGTGTATTTGGTATGTTAGTTTTGTGGAAATAGTCCGAAGATAATTGATTGTAACGAACTTTATAATTAATCTACGTACTTGCTCGTACTTTACAGACTATGTGTCAAAAGTAAATCTCATAAGAAATTTAGTGATGTTATGAAAGAGTTGGATTTATTTACATTTTAACATTGGCCAGAACAAAATATACCACAATAATTATTTTTTGGGAGTTAGCGGATTTTTATCCCCCTGTAATTTTACCCCTTGGCAAAACTGACGCCACAAACCAGGGGGTTAAATTCCGGCCACGAACTTTTGAGATGCACAACATGAGTTCGATAGACTAAAGGTGAAATTAAATGTATATTTTCACGGTTGTGAATTTGATCAGAACACATATAATTTTAAAAACCTAGAGTGTATGGGGCGCAAAACTAACATAGCAATACA